GCAGCTACTGCAGGGACTGCACCAGTGTGAAGGGCAAAAGTAGAAACCTGGCAAGGCCTTGAAAGGCATGCAGCCGCCTCCTCCGAAACGGTCACGAGTCCCAGCAAGGCGGCCCGAAATACTCCGGGTGGAGCTCGTCAGCAGTCCAAATGAACAAGGTGCCTATTGGGAGAGCAAGCTGAGTCCTACTGTCCACACATCTCTGTTCTTGGTCATGGCTGTTTTTAAAAAAAACGGAAAATCACAATTTTTGATTGGGTCCCACCTGATTTGCAGTGGCGGCCTTGCGTGTGCTTCTCCCAGCTGCGCTCACAGCGAGGGAAGCTGCCTCCGCACACAGGGGAGAAACAGGAAGTGCCCACGGTTCTCCAGCCCCTCCCCCCTTCTAATATGGCACGGGCTGCACAGGCGCTGATTGGAGCAGAGGCGCGTCCGTCACCGGCAGCCCCGCCCACCTGCCAGTCTGCAGGAGACTGCAGGGGGCGCTGTGTCTCTGAGTGCCGAGAGAGCAGCACTTTTGTTTTGCACATTGGAGCCAATTATTGTTATTTAGGATCTAAACAGGGAGACATCCCTCTAAATACAAGGGAAGTTACCGGGAAGAATCTCCATAGGTAAATACAGGAAACCAGCCTAAATATAAAAAAGATCAATAAATAACTGGGTGAGGTTGTCGGAAATCACAATCGAGAAAGGGGCCTCTTTTCACTGTTCGGACTGCCCCTCGCACGGCTGATAGCATGTGTGGTGGCCATTCGTCTGCTACTTTGTCTCCAGACGTTTTGTGTAATCCCTTCGCCCACATCACAGATCCGCAGGGGGCAGACAGCACAAAGAACGTCCTTGTTGTAATTCATGTTCTTTCAACACGTCTCGTTTTTGTGTTTTGTGTGGAGTTGACTGGTGTCACTTGAATCTCCCATCTGATCATGTTTGACCGCAGCCTGGGTGGACCTGATGCGTCGCAGGAAACAAATAAACTACGGTCTCTGTGGCCATTAGCAGGACCAATGCAATCATGTGATTAATGAAATGCCAAATGCAGTATCCAGCAAAGTGAGCGAAGTTCGAACACAGCTGTCCCACTGTGGGATAAGTATTCCTCACCCTTATAGAGCACTTTTTCTGGCCCCTCCACTCAGAGCTCTTTACAGGT